TAAAAGCATAGGATACAGATAGGAGCAGGGATGAATGAGGAGTTCCTGGACAAACTCTGGAGAAGAGAAGGCTCTGGGCAGACCTCAGAGCCCCTTCCAGGGCCTAAAGGGGCTCCAGGAGAGCTGGAGAGGGACTGGGGACAAGGGGTGGAGGGACAGGACACAGGGAATGGCTTTAAACTGAAAGATAGTGGTTTGAGGTGGGATTTGGGGAAGAAACTGAGGGTAGGGAGGCCCTGGCCCAGGTTTCCCAGAGAAGCTGTGGCTGCCCCTGGATCCCTGGAAGTGTCCAAGGGCAGGTTGGAGCCACCTGGGCTGTTGGGAGGTGTCCCTGTGTACAAAAGCAGGTGTAAAGCAGTTGTCAGTCCTTCTCGCCGCAGCTGCTGAAGTGCTGATCCATGGGAATGGATCCAAGCAGGTTCCTCAGGGTTTATCTCCTCCAGTGGGGAAGCTTTGAAGTTTTAAGCTTGGAAAACCTTCCTGGCAAAGGGGGGTTGTTGTAACTCCAGCTATTAGTGAGGTTTTCAATACGTGGACGTGGGAATTCTGTTCCTGAATGTTCCTAGTAGGTGACCGCGGGACAAACGCGTTGCCGTCTCCGTCTCCTCCCGTCTCCAGGCAGGAATGGTCTGTTCCTCAGGAATGGGATGAAGGCCCAAAAACAGGGATTTGGGATCTCTGGTTCCTCAGGAATGGGATGAAGGCCCAAAAACAGGGATTTGGGATCTCTGGTTCCTCAGGAATGGGATGAGCAGCATGTCCTGCTTGTTTGCAGATGCTGGCTGTCAGTGCAGTGACTGTGCACCACCCCCTGCTCACGGCAGCAGACCTGCAGGAGGCCAGCAGGCAGCACAGCACCGACTCCAAGGCCAACATCGTGCATGGTAAAGCTCAGCCTCTTCCCAAAAAACGCCTCTAGGAGACAGGGAAGTGGCAGGTCCCTCCCTGAGATCCCCCTGATGGAAGAGACAGGGATAACCCTGAGCTCACTTAGCTCATACATCTAGGGATAGAACTGCCAAATTATATACTTAAACTTTGCTTTTTCGTGGAAATGACCCATTTCTTAACATTCTTGCTTCAGACACATGGAGAACAAATGTTCTCTCCAATTCTGGATTCTTTTTCCATAATGAAGGTAAATAACACAAATAGGTGAGGCCTGGAGCATAAAGAAATAAGAGGGACAGATCCAGTGAGTGAACTGCTCGTGCTTCTGATGTGCCTAAGGGCAACCCTGAGGGCTCTCGTCTTTCCCTGCAGGTTTGTCCGTGCTGGAAATCTGCCTCATCATAGCCATGAAACACCTGAATGATGTGTATGATGGGGAGCCCTTCAACTTCCAGATGGTTTACAATGGTGAGAGGAACCCTGAGCTTCACAGGCACCACATCACTCCCTGTCCCCTCACTAATCCTTCTTTTAAAATCTGTTACTGACGCAGAATTCCAGAAGTTCATCCAGAGGAAAGCACATTCCATGTACAACTTCGAGAAACCGGTTGTCATGAAGGTGAGCCTGAGATGATATGTTTTTTTTAATTGTAAAGCATTTAGAAAGTGGTTTTATTTTCCAGAGCACAGATCTTGAGGGGTCAGATGCAACCCCAGAAGGGAATTGGGGTGTTTTGGGGCTGGAAGAACACCCTGCTCCCGGCAGGGGGTTTGGGAATGTTTGGCTCCTGGCAGGAATGACTTCACCTTCCCTTCCTCTGTACTTCAGGCCTTTGAACACTTGCTGCAGCTGGAGTTGGTGAAGCCCCTGGAAAGGCCGTCGGCGCGAGCGCAGCGGGAATATCTCCTGATGAGGCTGCTGCTGGACAACACCCAGATCATGGATGCCCTGCAGGTGTATCCCAACTGCCCCACGGACGTGAAGCAGTGGGCAGCCTCCTCCCTCAGCTGGCTCTGAGCTCCTGGCACAGCAGGGAAGTGCCAATGCCAGGAGAGGGAACGTTACCCACAGGAGCGCATTTGGGTTAATGAATTCTTGGAAGAAGCCTCCTGTGCTGATCCATCTGGGATGGATTTGAAGGAGAACCACGCTGATGTTGTCTCCCAGCGGCCAGAACTGTGACTGACTCCAAGGCTCAGGTGCTTTAGCTCAGCTCGGTGCCAACTTCTCCTCATTGCACACACTCTCCACTTGGAGAAATCCAACTCCTTGGAGTTTCTCCCTCTGGATCCTGGCTCAGGACACGCTGCCCTCCCCGTTCCGGTGTGGCCCCGGCAGTCCTGCAGCACAGCCACACCAGCCCACCCGTACTTCTCCTCCTCAAATCTGACTTGACCTGGAAAAGTTACTCAATTAAATCTGTAATCACAGCAAAATTTACCTAATTAAACCTTTTAATCCCAACAAGCTTCAGCTGCAACTGGTGGTTTGTGCCACCTTCTGCCATTTCCAGCTGAAGTGTGATGTGAGCAGTGTATCCCGGCACCAGGACGGTTTGGGAATGCCGATGGAGCCGGCTGGGAGCGCTGCCCTGCACTCTGCTGTCAGCTCTGGGGTGAGGAGCCCTTTGCAGCCAAAGGGTTTTTGATTTTCCTCTTTGCTTCACAGAGGTCCTGTCAGAGCAGGGAAAGAATCCTGGGATGGTTAGGGCTGGGAGGGACCGAGAAGATCTTTGTGATCCAGGTCCTGTAAGCGGTGCCACTGCTGCACACTTGGTATGAGATTTTCCTGCAGCAGCTCTTCTCCAGGAAGGAAAGTGTGGATTCAGCCAACCCCCATCTCCCTGTGTGAGTGGAGCTCATGTAATTCCAGCTGGCCTTGTAAAATGGGAGGGGTTATCCACTGCTTCCTGGGGAGCTGGGGGACAGGCAGCTCTCAGGGAAGTGGTTGCTTTGCCCATCCCTGGAGAAGGAAGAGGCAGCCAAGCCCTGACCTCGGGCTGCAGCACTGGGAATATCAGTGGCAGTGTGTGCAATTCCCAACACATGGCTTCCCCCTGCCCTTGGCAGCAGCTGGCACTGCCCTGGGAACAGTGTCTCACCCTCCTCAGTGCACTGCAAATAGGGATAAAAAACAAGGGATAAAATATAGGGAATGCTGGCGTGTCCTGACACAGAAGAGGTGAGTTTTCCCTTGGACGTGCTGGAGTTGAGGCAGATTCTCCCTTTGCTTCTCACCATATTTGACCTGTAACACTTTCCCTTTCTCTTTTTTTTGCCACAAAACTCCCAGTTTGGCTGGAGAACAGCCCCACCTGTTGCAAACCAGTGTAAAAGGAGGCATTTGCAAGTCAGAGTAGTCACATTTTTTATTTTCCCGTTGGGGGAATAGGGCAGAGTATACATTTGTATTTGTACAATATTTAACAATCACTTTATTGAGGGGTGGGGAGGGGGGTTGGTTGGTTTTTTTAGCACTTGCAGAAACCCAGCAAGTACCTTTTGACAGTAGTACAACAACCTGTGCCCAAAACACTGACAAATACAGAGAGGAAAGGTAAAGAAATCGCTCCCCAAAGTCGAGAGGGAACGAAGAGGAGATGGACTGAAACAAAATGAAAGGAGGGGGGAGAACAAAAGCAGTTCCTGCTGGTTGAGTATCTGAGGTAACAGATGTTCCATCAAGGATGCTACTGGAGTCCTGTTGCCCATGGATGTGTATTGCAGCTTCCTGTGTTTTGTACCAGAAATGTCTTACAAGAGGTTCAAAAACCTGGAGGAGGAGCAGAGGGGGGGCCCTAGGGGTGGTGTCAGTGCTGAGGGGAGCAGGACATGGCTTGTCACACCCAGAGCTGGCCTTGGAGCACTGCACCCGCCTGCCTTGGGTATTTCCATGTTTCTGGGGGGGTTTGGGAACAGCCCAGGAATGCTGGTTGAACCCCCCCCTGGGCCTGGGCTGAGGGGCAGCGTGAGCAGAGTCGTGCAGGACGGGGACAGGAACTTCTCAGCCTCGCACAGAGAAACAACACCTGGGGCTCAGGGGCCACTCCAGGGCCATCCCTGCACTTGGAGCCAGGGGCCAGGCAGGGCCAATGGCACAGTGTTCCCTAGCACCAGGCTCCCTGGATCCTGCCCTGGCAGCTCAACTCAGGCAATGCTCCAGAAGCGAAAGCAGAATTCATGTCCAAACCCCTGTGAGAGCAGCTGGACAGGACAGCCCAGGGGAGACCAGTCTGACCGGTTCAAAAGCATTTCCAAGGAGCAGCCTGCTCTCAGGGACGCTACATCACGCTGCTAAATCCCAGGAAATGGGAGCAGGACAAGAACTGAGCTGGGATAGCCAAAGGCAGAGTGAAAAGGCAGAGGTACAAGTGCTGTGAGAACCCGAGTTTGAGGGAAACACAAATGGTGGACATTTTACACGTGCTCAGGGTTTGCATCAGATCTCAGGGAGCACAGCATTAAACTCCCTTTACTCCAGTTTTGCTCCTTGGGAGCCCAGAGGTCTCAGGGAGTACAAGTGGGTTGGGATTTGTTCAGAACTCCGTTCCTGTCCTGTGTGTGGGGGAAGTTAAATTAAAACTGGATTAAAAAGGGAAGTGTCACAAATGTCACAAAGTGGAATTCTCGGAGCAGGTCCCTCAGGCACAGACGTGACCGACAGCGACACAGCCCTGGGTGGAACATCAGCCCTTCCCTCCTCCCTGTATCCATCACATCCCACTGTTCCCAGGGAAGAAGGCCCCTCTCAGGGCTGCACAGATCCACGCTCCAGCCACCCTGCCGTGAGCTCCCAGCTGCACTGTTAAAGCTGTTTTCCAAAGACAGGGACTGGACAGACAGGGAGAGCACGGACACACGCTCAGCACGCCAGGGGCCGCTGCCGGCTCTGCGCTCCAATTCCAACATTTACTGGACCTGGAATTTTGGGTGAAGGCTCCGATAAACGTGGCGAGCCAGCACTGGGAGCAGCACTGCAGCACCCAGCTCCCAGTCACCCCAATTCCAGCACAAGGGGTGACATCCTGAACTCCGGTGTTGGAGCTGGGAAAGCCACTTCCACGTTTTTCCTCCTTTTTGGCGAGTCTGCGCTGTGGATATTTGTTACCTCGGAATGGTCGTTGCATATCGTGAGCACAACTAGTTATCCCTGAAATTTCACACCTGGAATCTGGAGCCAGAACTCTTTGTGTGACTCCAGGATAAACCTGTGGATCACAGGGAGCGTGAGCTGCACTCCTGGGGGATGGCACAAGCTTTGAGTGGAGGGAATTGCAAATACTCCAAGCAGAGAGTGAGGAACTGGGGGGGGAACTGAGCTTCCTGAGGTGATCCTGGAACAGGGACACAGCCCCCACTGTTTGCTGGGACAGGGAACACGCGGCGACCTCGGCACGAACATAAATAGGAAAAAAAAGACTTTTTTTTAAAAAAAAAAAAAAAGAACAAGAATTCAGAGCTTTCCAGTGTCACAGCTCACAGAAAATTAAAAAAAAAAAAAATAAAAGTCATGCTTAAGTTTTCAAATATTCCTCAGACACAGCAAACCTAAATAGTATCAGTTAAATAAATGGATGAGATACTCTGGGAAACAGAGGGGAAAGCTTTCAACTAAAAGAGGAAGGAAAATTTTTCTCTCAATAAACAGCACTTTTTTTTTTGTTTTTATACACAACAAGCGAGTACAAGAAAAGGCTAAAAAACACGGCTCTGGGAATGGCCATTCCTGGGGGCACCTTCCCCTTCTTAAATAACACAGGGACGGGGAATAACATCATTTACAAAACACGGAGCGGTTCATTATCCCAATTAGTGTTGTCGACGATAATTTAGGAGGTGGAACTGAGGTATACCTGGTTTTGAGGGAGGTTAAGTAATACTTGGAAGCCTCTTTGCTCTATCCCATTGATTCCTCTCGTTTCTGTACACGGAACAGCAGCACACGGAACATTCACAAGCTGTGTCGTAGTCGCGTCACAACGAGTCATTTTGATAGAAACGACGACGAATGCGATAAAAACAAAGTTACCCTTTTTTTTTGTCGGTTTGTTTTTCTTCTTCTGTCGTTTTTGTTTTTGTTTGTTTTTTTTTTTTAAATCTGAAATGAAATGGTTTTTTGTGTTTTTCTTGAATTTTAAAAAAAATAACAGCAGTTCGTTTAAGGAATTAGTCTCTTCTGCCAGGGGTTAAGAAATCGGGTGTCAGTGTTTAAAACGCTCGTTAAGCCCCGACAGGTCCATATTCTTCATGTGAGTCCCTCGTCGGCACGTGAGGGGTCCGGTCACGTCCTTCAGGTGTGAGCAGGGAATGCAGGAAGTCTCATGGATCCACGCCGGGGAGGAGGAAGGGGCAAACAAAGGAGAAACACCTCTCGGTGATGTTCCAGAGAGACTTACCATCCGCTCTTCCCGCCGGCACGGCAGCGACGCCGGCAGCCCGCGCGCCGGAGCAGCTCCGCCGAAGAGTCCCGCGGTCACTTCCATGACCAGTGCAACTATCATAGGCTGGATTCTTTGGGAGGAAAGTCCACGTTCGTCACCATTGTGACCACAGTCACGATGTCCTCTGTGGTTATAATGTTAGTCAGTTTTTGCATCTGGATGATCCTCTCCTCCACGCAGCCGGCCGAGAGCCGCGCCTCGGCGTCGTGATCCCAGCACTCCTCGATGGTCTCGCACAGCATCGCCATTCCCTGCGGAGCCGGGGGGAAACGGGCACACGCCCAGTCAGGGAGGGGGCACCCAGCTAAGAAAAGGGCATTTAAGGTCCACCTGCCAAACGTGAACCCTGGTGTCCAACAGGACTTGGGTTTGATGGGACAGGACACGGCCTTGGACTCGGGTTTGATGGGGCCTCAGGTCTGCTTTGCTATATTATTATTTATTATATTATTATGTTATTATTATTATATTATGATGTGTTACATTATTATGTATTATATTATTCTTTCTGGTATTTAAACAATATCACAGCAGTGAGCAGACCCTTCCCCTGCAGTGCTGCACTATCCTCACAGCATTCTAGAGGTGAAATTCTTCAGCCTTCAAGTGTCACTTCAGTGAAAAGTGACTCAGGAATCTCTTCTTTCCCCCAAAACCTGACAGAATCATCTTTCTAACACTCAAAAGAGTATTCTAAGATGAAGAACACACTAAGCTGCAGCCCATTTAATTCCTACTAGAATTATTAAATCCCAGGACACCCCACGGGCTGGGCAGGATTTGGGCAGGATTTGGGGCGGTTGGTTGGTAACACTTACAGAATGTTTCTGCCAACACTCCCTCAGGACAGGCCTCTTCTTTTTATGGACCACCACCTCCTGCATGTCCTCCAGGGAGGGGTGCTGGCCAATCTCCTCCTCAAAGGGCAGCATGTACTCATCCACGGGGCCTGCACGGGGAAAAGGGGCTCATCAGCATCCTGGAATGGCTCGGAAGGGACCTCAAAGCCACCTCGTCCCACCCCTGC